TATTCTCTCTTTTCAAAAATCCGATTACTTTTCATGTAAACGAAATACATAGACATTTTCGTTGACTCCGTTATGATACGAGACACAGAAATAAGCTTCCTCTCTCTCTATCTCTCCTTATTTCCTTCCATTTTACCAAGCTTTTCAGATTTTGGAATGTTTCGAGATGCCGACTGCGTAGAAGCTACTAAATAACCTATAAGTATATCCTTTCATCGTTCGGTTTTTACTCGGAAATTCGGTTCTTCTCTCTACCAGCAGTAACACTCTTAACTCCTTTTCGTATAGCTTCGAATTGCAGAGAAGCGATTTTCTCCATTTTCCTGCTAGGGCAAGGTAAGGTAAGAGAGAAGTTGGTGAAAATTGACGGTACTCGGTGCGAAAGCGAATTCCAACTTCTTTACTTCGGCTAACGCTTTCTCTCGTACTACGTATGAAACTAAAGCCTCCTCTGGTATCTTCCTCTTCTTCTCTTCTCTTCTCTTCTCTTCTCTTCTCAATTCGAAGCCTTTGTATAATACGAAAGTGAGAAAGTTTCTAGCTCGTTTGCAGTATATTATCCGGATAGAAGAATCGCGATACTTTCGTGAAATCGATAAAAATAAAAGAAGAAAACAGAAATAGATAGACGGTAGAGAATAAAGTAGACAAAATTAAGAATTATTTGAATAAAAAAGGGCTAAACGAAAAAAATGCCATTTATATTTAAATCGATACACGACTGTTGTACACAGGACTAAAACTTTTATTGTCAGATTATAATCCGTCGGAAGATTCGAAAGTCGAAATTAATATTATCATTAACGCGTAATGTATAGTAAATCAAATTATATTTATTAAGTAACCATCAAAAAGAAGAAGAAGAAGATGAAAATTCTATCTTACGTAATATTACGTGATAAAATTCATATTAACGCACAGTTTAATTCGTTGATCCTCGCTATAAGCTTAACGAAGCATTAAACAAATAACGTTTCCGTTACACACTGTCCGAGTTCGCTCGGTTTAAATTCAATTATGAACGATAAAAGACTCGGAAAAAATGGAACGTGTTTTAAAGTTTGTCTCCTTTTCCTTTTCTCTTTTTATCCTTTTTTTTTTCTTTTTTCCTTTCGTTTCTTTTCTTTTCTTTTATTTTCCTTTCCTTTGTTTTTCCTGTCCGTATCTTTCTTGGTACCTGTCCAATTTCGTTTAGAGTAAAAACCAATGACGTTTATGGGATATTTCTCAACGTGTGAGAGAAAATTTCAAAGAGAGAGAGAGAGAAAGAGAGGAACGATTCTGAAAGAGGAAGATCTTTTCTCGTGGAAAAGCGTCTACTCCCATTGTTCATTTTTTATCCATTCGAGAGAGAGTTGAGTTATGATCGCGAGACGGGATACGGAAAGATGAAACACGAAGGAATAAACTCTGGTAAGAATCTTGAATGATGAGACAATGTTTACGAGTATATTTATGTATATAAAAGGTGACAGTTTTTTTTTTGGTTTAATTATTATTACAAGCAACATGAAACTTTTCTATCTGTCTCTACTTAATATGGTTGTTTAATTTACAAATTTTACACATTTTTTATCGTATCTAATCAAAATTGTGTTTTTAAAATTACTTGTACTAATACTATTATTATTATTATTATTATTATTATTATTATTATTATTATTATTATTATTATTATTATTATTATTAATCGATACAAATCGTAGTTGTGCGTGAAATGGTTCATTCGTCAAATTAAATCGCATGAGATATATTCAAATGATCATTCCCGTTATAATATCGATCTACCTAAGTCTTGGATTTTACATTTTACAGACGATCATTTATCAACTTCCGTATCGGTAGTATCGTTAACGACTGAAACTAATGGATCGAACGTTAAAGATATTTCAACTCGAACAGATTAGTTCGCGTTTTTCTCCTCCTTCTACCATTAATGCAAGTTATTATGTAAAGTTATTTATGATGTCAATGTGTTATCAGTGAAGAGATTTCTATCGTATTATAATTAGTGATCGTTTTAACTATCTTATTAAACGTTCGAATACAGATAACTGGTTCAATCGAATTCGTTTAAACAATAATTTTTAAGTTTAATAATATCATGATCAGAAAAATTACATTATTTATTAGACATATTGCATTTATGGGGAATATGTGTATCTAATATATAACAAAAAACAAGGTTAAAAAATTATTCGCATATTATTGTGTTTAGTAGAAAGTTTTTATTTGAATGCAAAATTGATACGAAAAAATATTTCGAATCGATTAATAATTGCATTAGAAAAAAATAATATGCTCGTTATATTAAAAACTCGAGTTATTCGAAAAATTTACTCATAATTACAGAAACTCGACGTACTTGGACTTTTAATTTGATCGTAACATTGTCAGACAAATGTTGGACGAGGTTCGTTTGGTCTCATTTATGCGAGAAAAAACGCTATAGAATGTTGTCGGCTCTTAGATTATTCTTTTTTGTATTACGCTCATTTTACCTTAGCTCTCTTGGTCGTAAGATAGAGTCGACGAGATTAAATTTTTAACTTCCTTATAAGCCATGGGGAAACTGCAACTGCAGCTGCAATGAAGCGCGCTTTAATTATATTTACCTAAAGTCGTAAATAATTTTATCGGTATAACTTAATGATCATATATAACCAGTTAACTTCCAAACTTGATCGCCAAACGCATGATTATTATAGTAAACTTCATAAATATATATATATATATATACTTGTAATAAATCTTCTATGAATTAATCATAAAATATACCTCCAGCGATATATCGTACGAAAAATTCTTCATTACACTTTTTCCGCGCGATTAGGGCAACGCATAATTACATTATAATTTTAAATATTTCGTTTTCAATTAGATGATATCTGTAAAAATGCAATATTTTATCATATTTATTATTATTATTATTTAAAAATAAAAGGGAATACATACAGTATTTTTATTTTAAAACTTGCCAAATAGCCGAATAACTTTTTTGATTTTAAGTAATGTTGATTTTGAAAACAAAAAACATGTAAATTTAGATATCGAAGGGGGAATTTTAAAGCAAATATTGATCAAATTTCAAATTCTATCCATAAGGGGATAACCACTTTAGCTAACCCTACTTTGAAATTTTAAATAGCACCTCCCTATCTCGTAATACATAATCTTAACGGTAAAGAAAATCCACGTCTAACCGCGTCAACAGAGATTCTATCGGCAAAAATGATTTAAAATCAAAACTAAAAATGATTTATTTTCAGTATTCATTGTAAATACACTGTCCGCATCATAAAAGTGTTCGCTTTTTTCTACACATTTACATTACATTTATATATTTATTTCGCTATATATAAACTGAAGATATTCTATTCTTACTAATTAAAATAAATTATATTTTACTTGAGGTATGTGTTTAGATAAAACTATGTTAGGGTACAAATAATTTTTTTAAATAATTATTTATTATAGGAATATTTTTTTAATGTACACTCGCGATATCCCATGAAAATGATTTCAGAAGTAGTGGCCCAATCATAAAGGTCATAAATTTTTATGCCACAATTGAATTTCATTTTCTATTAAATTCTATTCTCTTACCCTACATCATTAAAACATGTTTTCAATCATTCTTATCGATGGCATTGTTGCACTTTTCGTGTCGCGTTTGAAATTGTTTGTGCCCGGTGTACGGTTGTCTCGTATCTTTCCAGTCATTTCCCGCAAGCCTTTACCGATCGATATTTTCCTGTTTCTCCTTCACCCCCGCCCCATAAAACCTTTCACTTTTCGTCTCGTTCTTGAAAATTTTCAATACTCTTTTAAAAGAAATTTTACTTTGAATATTCACTTAAATAAACGTTTATGTTATGTTCAGTTATTAATTAAAAAAAAAAAAAAAATACACGTTGCTTCTTCCAAAATTAGCAATCTTTTCGTAACGTAATATGACGACCTTGGTCTTTTGAATCGAGATTTTGATTGAGATATTTGATCTTTTGAATTGAGATACTGTTTAAAAGTGATGAATAGCGATAACAGACTTGGAGCTATCGCGAAACTTAATAAACTTCATTTAAAACGATCGACCAATCTCGTCCAACTTTATATTGCGTTGGATAACATTAAACGTCTATATTATTACGATATTAAAGAGAGAGAGAGAGAGAGAGAGAGAGAGAGAGAGAGAGAGAGAGAGAGAGGGAGGGAGGGAGAGTAGTGCGATGAGCTCATACAGGATAATTTACTTTCCGTGATGATATTACATTTTTATTCGGTAGTGACCGCACGTTCGATCTGCATCGCATTACGATTAACGAGCAATTAAAATCGCAAAAATAAAAGCGATAACATATGCACGTAGGTATATATAGACAGGGTGTCCCACATAACTCTAGTCACGATTTTTCAAGTACCTGAAAAAAGAAAATACTTTTAACAAAAGTTGATCTGTTTTTGATTGATCCATAGGTCATAGTATACTATATCGTTGAATTCCTAATAATGTGAGCTGTAATACAGTAAAGTCAAAAATACTAAGTGCCATTTAAAAAAATAAAGGTAGCTTTAAAAAACATTAAACAAAAAATGTATTGCAATGTATAGCTAATCACAAACAGATCAACTTTTGTTTAAAGTATTTTTTTGTCAGGTTATCGCAAGTACTTGAAAAATCTTGACTAGAATTAGATGGGACACCCTGTATATATATATGCATGTATGAACGAACGAATGATCGAAAATATCGATGTAACCATTACTTAAGATTGTTTCACCGTGGATAATGTAACATGATTTTAACACGTTTGTGACTTATTTGATCGGAAGGTGATTTTTCTCGAGATCGTTTCGAAACGGATAATAATAACGATCGAGCAAAGCACATTATATTTCCTTTGAATTCTATCGAAACTATACATTGGTATCTACTAAAGTAACAAATGTTATTATTACAATCTAATAATATAATATAATATTACATTTATATTTTTCAGATGATCAAAATGCGGTGACGTTATTGAAGAAACATTACCAATACAAATACATATCATCGAAGTCATATACCTACATTGTGTGATCGAAATATTATTAAGATAGAAAAAAGAAATTGTATAATCGTGGTTCGTTGAACCGATTGATGCATATCATATATCGAGAAGAAGAAGAAGAAGAAGAAGAAGAAGAATTGAAAGTATTAGAAAGAATTAAAATCAACGATTTGGCCGATTTCAAGATCGGCGATGTAAAAAGTGCGATCGAATTAGTTTATTAAATCGTAGTTTACTGATATTGACGATAGGAAAGTAGTGAAGAACGAAATTTAGAAGGAAGAAATGTTGCTGAGGTAACACGCATAGAAACTCTTTGAGAATAGTAGCAGAGGAAGTTGCGAAAAGGGGAGTGATCATTGGAAGGAGGGGGAAAAAGAGAAAAAGGTTGGAGAGGAGGAAAGGTTAAAGAAAAGAAAAGGAGAAGGAGAAGGAGAAGGAAAGGGAAAAAGGATGGGCTTTCCAAGAAGAAGATCATTGTGGTTGAAGGTCGGAGTACTGGCGACGGCTGTTTGGATCACCGTGTGTTTCCTTTTGTACACGGAGGATCGTGCGGCTGCCGAAGCTGTACAGGGTTTGGCACCCTCTGGTGTCGCTGCACCACCGCAAGTGGCTAACGGTTTCGTGCCACCAGCGCTTCCTCTTAGAAAGGAGACGCAAGGAAACGCTCAGAGCAAAGCCAAACTTAATCAGGCTGGTCTCGAACAAGGTAAACCACCCCCGTTTTACTTTCATTTTATTCGCTATTTTTTTTCTACCTTCTTTCTCATTAAAATCTTTCAATGATAATAAAATCGATATAACAAATCTAACTAATATAACAACGTTTTCTCTTTTACTCTTTGATTAACTCATTTTAATCGTTTCACGACGTTGTTTGTCGCAATTTTTGTCTTCTCTCAATGATAATATCAGGGATATTAAATAGTAACTGCGCAAGGTCCGGGATTAAAGGAAGTACGTTAAGAATCTTTGATATTCCTGATGATGACTATAGAAAAAGAGACGGGAGACTAAGAGCAAAATAGAAAGAGAAAGAGAGAGTTAGTGAGTGAAGGAATGAGTGAGGCAAGTTCGCACCGGAGCGGGCAGTAAAGCAATTTGTCGTCGTCTTTATTGCCGCATCGTATACACGAGGGTCCAACTTGCCGGAATGGGATAAAATTATTTTCAGAAGGAGCAATAGCAATGCTACGTAGTCCTATTGGAGCAGCTTGCGTTTAGATACGCCTGAACAGTATGACGCCAGGCAAATAAAACTCAAGTTTATGCGAAAAAGCTCTCAGAAAGTATATGATATCTTTTTCTCTCTCTCTCTCTCTTTCTCTCTCTTACTTACTCACTCAGATACGATCGAATGGATATGAACGATTCTAAAAATTCGATTCCATTTTCTTCCAATTTGTTCATATTTTCTTTCGCAAGTTCCACTTACCGATTTGATGTTTTTTTTCATTGACAGGAGGAGGTGTTTTAGTTGCACCTCGTGATCCAGACTTCGCGGGACTCGGTGAGATGGGTAGACCAATCATATTACCAACTAACCTAACTGCGGAGATCAAAAAGCTGGTGGACGATGGGTGGATAAATAACGCTTTCAATCAATACGCTAGCGATCTTATTTCCGTGCATAGAACTTTACCCGATCCTCGTGACCAATG